TTTCAGACATCGATCACGCTCATAAGTAAGTTTTTCGATCTCTTGATCACAATATTTATGGAAACTTGAATTGTAAAATTATATCTAAAACTTTGTCTATAGAGAGGTCATATTATATCTAACTTGAAACTTCAAAATTCAAATTTTCAGCAATTAAACTATTCGTGAAAACACACACATACACGACATCTTTGTCAATAGAGGTGTCACGAACACATTCACAGAAGATATCTCTCTTGATGAATAATTGAATATCTTAATATCTGAAAAGATCTTCAATAATTGCATTTAACTTTCAGGTTTGATCCTACTGTACTCTCACAGGATCAACTATGAGCTTGATCTATGTCGAAGCCTAGTCGGTATTGACAAAAAAAAAGACGTTATCTCAATGTAATCATCAAGAATGTTTAGATTAATTGAGTTCTAATTGTTTTATGTGTATTAACCTAAAATATTACTCATGAAATGGTCTAATGATTTACTAGATTACGTTGACATTTCAAACAGCATCGAGGCATACTTCTTAGAATATCAAGTATTTAAAGAGGTACTTTTCTGTTCTGCTAGACTATATCAGTAGTAAACGTACACTAAATTCCATTGTTCAGATTCGTTCAATACTTGAACCTTAGAGTGTTTTCATGGTTGTCCATATACCTCAAGAAACAATGAAATAATTACTCAAATACTCGATACTGTCTGAACAGATTGGATAGTTTCTGAACTCGAACACCAAGCCAGAGTTCAGATTCGATGCATGCATCATCAGTTGTTTTTGTGCACTTTTTTTTGGGAGGGGGGGGGCGGGGAAGGGGGAAATATTCCATGTCAATATTTGTGGATTTAATCTTGAAAATAAAAACCATTATAACTTAGTTAAGTCTTACTTTTAAGTTTATTTTAGTTTCTTGTTTCTCATCGATGCTCAACATATTCGCTCATCAGTAATTCGAGTTACTTAGTACGTAAACGTTTGTCTTTATCTAAACGATCTAAAATCTATAAAGTAAAATTTAATATTTCAAATGTTTTGTAATCATAATAAAAAAAATCTATTATTCTTTTAGGTGTACAACCGACTATTTCATAGAAATCTTCAATGCCGGAAAGTTTTTTAACAACAGATATTATTGTTATCATCGTCTTAGTGGTTGTATTAGGTTTGTTCTATTTATTTCAATGTTCGAAAAAATTTTTTTCCTTTTTTTATTTTTATTTAAAATATGTTCTAGTTCTAGTCGGTGTAGGTGCATTTTTAATCCATTTTTATTGGACAAAAATTGGTGTGTCTGAAATTTGGAATACAGCTAAATGGAGTTCAATGCGCAGTTCATTGTATCAAACAATGCGTCGTTTTAGTCGAGGAAATACTAGTAAATTTACTTCTGAACCGCCTTACTCTGGTACATCCATTTATACAGAAGATATCGATGGTATTGTGTCACCGGACCCATTACACGATAGGAAATCGAATCCTCCTGTTACTACTTATATAACATCTCAAAATAATTTTCCTTCAAATAGAAACCTCGATAAATTACCGTCCACAATTGCATATAAAAATCCCATACATGAAAACTATGCAACAAAAATTGGTCAACCAATTGATAATACAATTATTTATAATGTTCATGAACATAATACTGCATACAATGATCCATCTACTTTTATACAAAGGCAACGTTTCTAAAACAATGATAAGTTTCTATTGATAATACATATATTCATTTCGTTTGCAATGCATCAATGGGAAATTCTTTATATTTATTCTCTACTTTTATTCATATGTTCTTCTTTTGCAAGACATCCATGATGAAATAATTGGCAACTCAAGGAATTCTATAGACATATATATATACACGGGTCATTCCAGGCAAAACGGGATATACTCACCTTTCATTTGAGTTTCATTCTTTACAAGGGTTATCAGTTCTTTTAGCTTAGACATATGCTAAAATGTTGGCGCTTTCAGCTGACTATTAATTAAAAAGTAATTACTAAATATCTCTAATCATATGAGAAAAGAAATCCAAAAACTTCAGGATAGACTCTGAGATACGACCCGTATCTATGGTGAAATTTTCAGTGAGACCAGATTTAAAAAACCGATTTTCTAGAGATTCTGTGAAACTCCGAAACAAAAACGTTTGTGTTACCGTCATCTAGGGATTCTGAGGAAGGATCTGTACAGTTTGGAATTGGTTTTGAACTTCTCATTCAGTTATAAGAGAATTTTTTCGTACTTAGTCATGTCACTCGCAGAAAGTAAATCGGTTTTTTGAAAACTCTAAGCATAGTCAGAAAAAACTTTGGATTGAGTATACTGAAATGCCAAAAATGAAAGTCGATATCTTTTTTTCATATCATGTTGCCGACACTAGGTTTTTTTTACTGATAACTCCTATGAATAGATGCCTCTAGCGCTGACATTTTCAAGGTATCCAGAGTAGCTTAACATACATGCGTGACATAAAAATTATCTTTAGACAAGTTCATTATCCCGAGATACACGCATTTTAATTTTTCGAACATACATTGCTAACGAGCGATTTTGCTTATATAAAAATCTATTGAATTCTTTGAGTCGTTATTTTCTGGATTGTAGATATTACTGTCTTTTATGAACATGTATTTGTCTTTCGATGATATTTATTGTGACTTGTAAATGTACTTGTATAAGAAAACATATGTATAACAGCTCAAATAATGTGCATGAATAAATAATTGCTACGCTTTTGATAAATTCTGAATTTAACAAGCAAATATTTTATTTTGTTATAAGAATAAAAAACAAATAACAATTAAATCTGACAACAATGATTAAGGAAATATTTATTGGTATCTATCGATTTGTTTTTCATATCCTAAACCATGTCGATGATTACGGATATTAACTTCAATAGGCGTTTTTATTCCATCTTGATTTAAACCAAGACCATTACCAGGTATCCAACCGATTTTTTCTAATAATTGATGACCAAGATTCGTTGGATTAATTGGTGTAATAATATCATCTATGACTTATGTTTAAAATAAAGAATCTCAAAACATTTCTAAATAACTTACTATTTTTTAACGATTGAACATTTTGTTCTAAATGAGAATCAATATGAACATTCTAAAATGAAATAAAACACTCATTTTAGTATTGCTCATACAGTTAAATATTCACTGTTGAAATGTGAATACGTTTAAGATTATGTATATTTCTGCCTGCCTAATGAACTAATCCATCCTTGACAGTTATGAAAGGATCGTTAGGAAATCCCTTGTAGATAGTATTTTGAATAATCTGTTGAAAAAATATTTATTCTATTTGGAAATGCATGCAGCTTCTTTGAACTCATTCGATAAAATTCTTATGTACAATGGAAAATTTAAATTACACGAAAATCTTGGTACAAAATGCTCACTCATTTTTCAGCCACTAAAAGACAACTAGTCACTGCCAGAATTAGAATTTTCCGCTATTTCCGAGTATATGTTCAGATTTTCCTTCTCATATTCAATCGGAACTATTCTACATTCAGAAGTCGTATATGACTTGCCTAAACACAATGATTTAAAAGCCCAAGTCAAGTCATTTCTCCCACAAAATCAGCATAGTATAATCCAACACGGAAAAAGTTCAAACGAATATGCCAATTTGTTTGGACATTTTGGAATATAACCTTATCGTGAAACACGATCTAAAACAAAATGTTGAAGTACATAGGATAAAAATATAGACCTTCCAGACCCTAATGAGCACCTTGGTAATTCTCTCGTTGAGAATGCGAATTAGGTCTCTGTCGTGTTTCACATTTTAATCCCACAGAGGTTTCGCTAATAAATCTTTAAATTAGAATCATATGCATTAGCTGAGAAGATTTTTCAAATATTTTCCAAATGACTTCCCATTATCTGAGTTTCCATCAAAATACAAAATAGTATTTTGTACAAGCACTATTTAGAATCTTTTGAAACAATCTGATGTTAGTTGTTCAATCTAACCCGAGAAGGAAATTCTCATTAACTGTTTCGGACTCTAACTAATTATTTTTAACGAACTGATAAATGAGTGAAAATTTTGCGTCAAGACTTTTGCACCATAGATTATATTTTTCTGATCAATTTCATTTTAAAGATTAATCGTACTTTTGATTGAATATTTTGTCGGAATTTTTTTCGATCGATAAATGTTTGAATTTGTTTTTGTATTTTTGATTTTGAACTAGTTAACATTAAATTAAGTGCACCATCAACAATTTTTTGTAAAATTTCATCTGATGTTATTAACATTTCATCATCATCATCATCATCATTTTTATTTTTAAAAATTTCTTGTTGATTATCTTCCCACCATGATATTATATCTGGTGTATTACTTTTATTTGTCGACGAATTTAATTGTTTATCATTCGTTTGATTATTTATTAAAGATGAATTTTTATTATTATCATTTAAATTTGTATCCATTTTACTATCATCAATAGAGAGAATCGTAATATCAGATAGGATATTGTTTCGTCTATGATAATTATTATGTTTTGTGTGAGATTGTTTGCATTTATTAATAGAAATAGTCGTTTTTTTATTTTGACATCGATGATATGCATGTTTTTTTTCAATTTGTGAGACTGAATTAGATTTAGATACAGAAGATAATGATGAAGATTGTATTTTTAATTTATTTGATAAATTTAATAGATTATTACAATTACTACTAATATGTTGTGTATTGTTAACATTCAAATAATCTTTAGTTTCTTTGATTACTTCTGATATTTCATTATTTCTCATATGTTTTCGTTGTGTTTTTTGTTTTGATAATCTAGTAAATAATGATGACATTGTTCTGAACTTGGATAAAAAGGAGATAAGACAGTTTGTATTATTCAATACACTATTCAAATTAGTAGATAATCGATCGATAAATTTTTGAAAAATTACTTGATGAGTAGTGATTGATAGGTTATAAAAAATGAAAAAAATTATCTAAAAAATAAATAAAATCTCTAATTATTCATGTCAACAGGAAAACCATTCATATCAAATCCTGGAAATAAGAAATATTTATCAATAATTATTATATTAAAAAAAAAAAGAAAGAAGAACTTATTTAAAATATACCTATTCCATATTCATTAATTTTTTCACTTTCTTCATGAATTATACGATATTCATTTAGTAATTGTTCATCATACGTTTGCTTATTAAAGTCAATTTCTTTTTGTGATGGTCCTTCATCTATATCAATCGATGAAAATTCATCTAATAAATATGAGCAAATAAGAAAAGATTTATTTAATATTATTAATAAAATTCTTTTACAAAAAGGTTCTATTGATCCCATTTGAACTGTTTTAAGCCATGTGTCAATATCATTCAAAGTGGAATTCATATAAACCTTTCCCTATAACAAAATAAGCTTGTCAGTGCAGCCCTGTTGGAGCTCAAATGTGGAACTCACATGTGTTCTTTAGCCTCATTATAATAACAGAAAACATGTTAAGTGAAAAATCTCTTGCCGACTATAGTTGTTTTTCAAGGATAGTCGATCGCCAGGGAAATGATTTCTCTTATTTATCTCTGCATTTCGAACGGAATTTTTTGTTATTATTCTAATCATTGATTTAATTAGCAAATTAGCCTGTTATACACATTCATTATATCTGTCGCAAGTTTCAGTGCATTATTATATATCTCGATAAGCTCAGAAACACTGATATTGAGTATTTCACGCTTTTTATGTTGCTCATATGGCGACTATGGCATATCAGTCCATCACGATTATAGATGTACGGGACTAACCTTAGTTCCGGTCTCAGGACTACGAGAAAGTGAAGTTGTTGACACTGAGAGCGAGACCACTAGACAAGAAGTTACCGAGAGCGAATCAGAACTGGGATCAAAAAAACTTGGTCCCGCACATCTCTAATCACTACCCAACACTCTTGACATCTTGAATATAAATTTTTGTCTGCGTAAAAATGAAAAATTGCACTATTTACAACATCTACAAACGAATTCCAGCCATTCCAATTTCGAGAAAATCTTTGGAATGTTATAGAACAGCCGAAGTCGTGTTGTTAATGCCATTCAACGTATTTTCTCGTTGCTAAAGAGCTCTGGGAAAAGAGTCTGACGGCTATTGTCTTCAGTTGCTATAGAAACATATCCAATGGCTGCTGGCCTTCCCCTCTGTTACTAGGAAAAATATACCTCTGATCTTTGAACTTCATTGCTATGAGGAAGAGCCACAAAACTTCGACTTACACTCACTATATTTTTCTTCGAAAAAAACATAATGTGAGTTCCATAAAATTAAATTAAAATAATAATTTTTTATAAACGTATTTACATTCGAATCATTAATATATATCACAGCTGGATAAGGAATATGACCATATTGATTTATAGTAAGAACCCATAATGAATTACTAAAAAATGAAATCATTTTGTTGATAGAGAAAAAATAAAAGATAAGGATTTACGTATCAATCCAAACGAAAGGATTCTCTATTGATGGATTATTTAATAAAAAATAATCATTCAATTGAATAAGTTGTGAATGACTGGCTACTAGAAATGTTGTTCGTGTTGATTTAATTATATCCATAGGATCAAATGGAATCTTAATCAAGACAAAATAAAAAGAAATTTGAAGTTTAAATCTACAGAAAAAAAAAGTTACGAGTCACAAACCATTGGAATTCGAAGAGCATCACTAATTAATATTTGAAGATGATTAAGATCTTCATTTAATGCATGAACAATCGTTTTCGGTTGTAAAAATGAATTAATATCACCATACTTTTGTTTAATAATTAGAGAAGAACTATAAATCAATAAATATTTTTTAAGAAAACAATCAAAATAAAAAACATGATGATTATTTTAATCATTGAAGAATCCCTTAACCTATTCTTATTTTTTTTTTACTCTTTATCTACCTTTCTGTTGAATATTTGAACATAAAAAAGATATGTTCATTATCCAAAAACATATCGACTAGATTTTTATAAGTATCATATACTGGAAGAAATTTTTACAGATTAAAAATAACAACGCAACTATTTTATCAAATGTACTTACAAAATTTTTCTTGATGTTGAATTTGAGCAAGAATAATCAATCGTTGATGTGTAAGGATATTTTCGATTAATGTTTCACTAGAATCATCGTCAATTAGATATGGTTGATTAACCGAAAATCTAAATATTCATCATAAATTTATAACAAAGGATCCTCCGGATTTGCTGATCTGTCATGAACCGCGGTACCATATATGTGTGGTTTTGTAGAGCGATTTGTGGCGCATCGAATGGTGTATAAGAAACCAAGTTTTATGAAAATTTTCATGTGTTAATGATCGATACACTGGTTATAATACTTGGGAAATCTTATAAGGTACTCATAGACATTGTAACCCATGAAAAATTTTCTTTAAAACTCGTTTCGATACAGCGATGGGTGCTCTTCGATTTTCTATAATCAATACCTTTCAACATTGCTTTCTTCATTCCTAAAAATGGTCCCTTTTCTTATGTCTAGCTTGTTTCTTGACTACTTGATATTCCAGTGTGTTCGACTCTGTGCCATAGAATAAGTGAGCACCAACATGAAACTTTTTCGAAAATTGCATACAGTCGAGCTCTATATATTTCACCCATAACATCTTTCAGAACAGCAAAGACTCCTTATCAATTTACAACATTGTTCTCTGGAATAGCATATTTTCCAATATCTAGGATCGGTATATTGACGATATTCTAACAATACTCTGACCGATCCTACTGAAAATTTTTATATGTCAATAATCAGCACAGCATCCCTGACGGACTGATATAAATAACTTCCTTATAAATGAAAAAATTTTTGTCGTCCAGATCTCTGGATGGGGCGTGTGAACATGAAGAATTTTATTTTTGAAATGAACGTGGGATCTTTATAGATTCATCTAGAGTTCCATGCATAAATCAAACTTGGATACTCGTTAAAATATCATTACTATACCAGCCCATTCATGTAAGGAAATAAGTTAGTCTAGGGGACAAGCTTATAAGTTGATAATGAGTCCCTACTGTTTTGAAAGATGTTTATGTGTGAGACATGGAGTTCAATAGTGTGCCATTTTTTAAGACAGTTTCATATTCGTACTCACTTGTTGTGTGGTACAGAATTGAACACATTAACATATCAAGTAGTCAAGAAATAACCTAGATCTAAGAGATCAGTTTTAAGTATGAAGAAGGCAACGATGAAATCTATTGATCATAGAAAACTGAAGAACACCTATAACTATATCGCATTGATTTTTAAAAACATTTTCCATCAGTTTTTCTTCAAACAACTTAGGGACCATGATGCCCATGAGTACCATATATATTTCTCAAGGATTATAACCAATGCATCGATCCTTAAAACATCACAATCTTGATTTCTAATATACTATTCGATGCGCTGCAATTTGCTCTACAAAACTACATATACAGCCTTCTGATTCAGGATAGCCACCGAATCTGGCAAGGTCCTTTGTTTTGATGAACTTACCGAAATAAAGCTAAAGCCATTTCATTTTTATCTGTACTACCTTGATAGATTTTCATTATTGTTTTATTTTCAGTCAGAATTAATGTTGGCCATTCAAAAATATTTTCTTCATTACATATATCAGTCCAATCGAAACAATCAATATCTATCATAGATAAATAATTATGAAGATATAATGCTAATTGATGAAATGTTTTTCGAGCTAATTTTGATGTTGAATCCCATTTAACAGTAAAAAGAATAGCATTTTTTAAATGTTTTTCTTGATTATGATAATAATCTTCTTGATTTTTAAGAAATAAAACATTTGGATCTATTTCAATTTCATCGTAAGCATCAGCTATATATCGTACTTCATCATCGAACATTCCATATATATCTATTTAATAAAATGTATATAGTTCAAAAAACAAAAAGAATGATTAAGTACTTTCTAAATGTTGCTTTTGTTCTTCTTGTATGAGAATATCAAGAAGTTCATTCGAAGGTTGATCACCAAGACGTTGAAATATATTCTATAATACATTAACTATTTATCAATGATATTGATTAATCAATGTCTTATACTTTCTTTGCTGACCAAAACAAATAGAATGGATATGGACCATGTAAAAATACATGATTGTCTATATCTATTACCTTGAAATTCAATCTATAATAAATCATTGAATATATACAGTGACTCTCAAAAATACATTCTCACTTCATACATTTTAATTTTAATAAACTTCAAATTTAGACAGGATTTTTGAAAAACTAAATAGTACATTCTGTAGATAGCTCTTGGAGGCTACAAAACCTCTCTCCAAAGCTTTTTTCTGAGTATACTTAAATTTTTCAAAAAAACAAAAATTGATTTACTCTTTGCGAGCGACGTGAGTGAGTTTGCATGAAATAGCTCTTATTTAAATTCCGTACAAAAAAAAAAACTTTCTTACTTACATATTTACGGGAATGATAGTCATATTTTTATTTGATATTAAAGTAAAAGTCGAATTTGTATGTATATAAAATAATGTTGATAAAGTTCGTTGAAATACATTGACATGAGTTAGATCAGAAAATGAGTTAATAATATTCAATCGATCTTTTCTAGCTCTTATGCGCTGTTCTAATATCATTCGAATGTTATTTTCTATGACACATTGTGATGAAATAACATTACTATCGAATGGATAAATTTGATATAAACAATCAATTGTTTCTTTATTATTTCTACCATGAAAAAAAGAAAAGGAAAAATTTTTATGTAATATATCCAAAAAATTTAGACTTACTTATCAATAGAATAAATAAAAGTAAACCATTGCCCATAGTTCAAAATTGTTCGACTAACGGTAAAATGTACTGAAATAAAAAAAATTGTGATTTTTTTAGTAATTTAATCTTTTCACTAAATACAAATCATTGCTCTTTTCATATGAACTAACTTGTTTAAAATACTCATTTGATTAGTGAAAGTGGTTCATCACTTTCGGCAATTCTATTCGATATTTTACACTATGAAACAGATATCGTTAAAAAAAGATCACATATTTCTTTAGCAAAAGAAAGTTATATAGTATTAAATAAATAAGCTTTTATACTTGATCTATTATTGACAAGAAAACGTTTCCAATCGCTTTTCGCTTGAGGACTATTGCCATTAGATTGATCATAATGAATAGTAAAAGAAAAAAGTCTGTTTTAATTTGGTTTTCCGGTCTTCACTTGTTGAGTTAAGAGCATTTTACTCGATTTCTATCCTGTGAGCATAGAATTACTGAGAACCTGAATGATTGAATTTCGAACTGAAACTGTGCACATAGATAGGTTCTATAGCCAAAAGTTTGAGCTAGGACAAACGTATCCATATCGAGATATGAGCTTGCCATGCAGTCGTCGTCCTTCTTTTGAAAACACAGTCTAAAACATGTAAATATCTTAGCAAGAATATGTTTGTTCGGGATAAAATTTTACGATGTTTCTAGTGACTGTAAGAGGACCAAATTTCAGGTCAAAATTCAATCATTTAAGTTTTTAGTAATCCTATGCATACAGGACAAACATTGTGTTAAACCTCTGCAACTCATCAAAGGAAGACCAGAAAGCCAAACCAAAGCAAACTCTTTTATTATACATTATGACTGATACAATGACAATAGTCCCAATAGAGAAGCGATGGGACTGTTGTCGCGTGAGTACTTCTAGATTAATGAATTATTCACATACCTTGAGCTGTAAGAGATTGAGCATTAATAACAACAATATCTTCATCGTTTGATTTTGACATTATATTCTTTAATTTATTCGTATCATTTATCGATTGAATTCGATAGAGAATAGTTGATCTAATAAAATTTATTTATTAAAAAAAATAGAAATAGCAAACAAACATAATTTCTCTTACATCATATCCATAACAACAGCTACTGATTCTTCTTGTATTTGTGCTGATTGAACTTGTATACGTTGATGAATTGTTAAATTAGCATCAAATCTATATAAAAACAAATTATCAAATAATTAAAATAAAAATAATTATAAAAATTACTAACTGATAGAGTTTAAAAAGTACACCATAAATACATGCACCTACTTCATCTATATTATCTATTGATAGATCATTACATAAATACTAAAGAATAAATTCTAATAATGAATTTATTGATAATTATTAAACTTTACATAGCTGATAAATATATGATGTTGATCAAGAAAATTTTCAAATAATTTTATTTCATTTCGTGTTGCGTTTAAAAATTCGGCTGTAACAAAAACATTTTGAATGAAAAATACAAAAAAATTCTTTTTAACTTACGAACGGGAAAATAACATTGTATTAAAATACATTGTTGATTATTACATTGTTTAAATTTTTCTTGTGAATTATCAGTTGCAACAACGTTTAAAAATAAAAAAATTATCCAAAACATATCGATTTTTATCTAAAAAAACAACAAGAAACTGATATTCTAAATTTTCTCATTTTTTGTTAATGTGTAAATGAAGAAAAACAAAGAAAAAAAAAAAGAAAGTTTTATTCGCTAGGCGTGGCATTTATTGGTGGTGGAGATAGACGTTTTAATTGATTTTCACGTTCATTGGCAACAAAAGATTCATCGAGAAATCTTAAACCATTACATCGTCGTCCAGTTAATGGATCTTTAATACGACCAAGTTCATAAATAATTTCACTTATTTCATAACGTTCTAATGGATAACGACATTCAAGTGTTGGTCGTTTTTTTAATAAAACTATATCACCAACTTTTGTTTGTTCACGTTTATCAAATGCTTTATAATCGATACCTTAAACATAATAAAAAAAACACAAAGATTTCTCTAGATTAGAATTTCTTCAACAAATGAAAAATGTCTTGTTAAAAGACCGAAAATCTATTCATTTTTTGGTTATTATAGTTTCTGGATGTCGATATTTGTTTTTTTTTTCTTAAAAAATTGAATTTTTTGCTAACAGCTGATATTATTCTCATGATTCGTTTCGTAATGTTTGTCTTATATAGATTTGATTTCGATTAATTTGATTTTTCTATGAAAAATAACTTACGTTGATTAAAAAACATATCAAATTTATCATCAAGTTTCATTTGTAAAACTCTTATAATAGCTGTTGTTGTATTACTTTTTGTTAATACTCGTCCAATAAGTAAACTTGGTAAATTTACAATTTGTGCTGCCATTATTTTTTTTCTTTTATCTAAAATAAGAAAAAAGAAAACAAAAAAAAACAAAAATTATAATCGAATATTTGGATCAACATTTTGTGCAATTTTTCTCCCTCGATGTCGATCAGGATTATAATCAGATAATATATGCCATGAACTCGGTTTATCTTCTATATTTCTTACAGTTAAAGATTTTTCATTCATAATTGTTAAATTAGTTTCATCATCATTATCGTCTTCATCATCTATATTATTATACATATCAAATTCACTCATCCAATTACGTCTTTCATATCTTTCAGTAGCCATATCAGCTCTTGACCAATTTTTTCGATTTTTATCAAATGTTAGATATTGTTTAAATTCATTATCAAATATTTCATATTTAAGTGAATCAACAAATCCTTGATAATCATCTTTACGTAAAAGATTATTTGTTGTACGTTTTAAAAATGTTGTTACACTTGTACTAAATATATCAATTAAACTAATATTTAAATCACGTTGTAGAACATATTGTTCTTCACGTCGAACACGTTTAAATAAACCAGCACGATAAACAAATAAATATCTTTGACGTATATGATCAATTGTATATGCTAATGCACCGGATTCAACAATATCACGTGTTGATGCAAATAACATAATACGTAAATAATTTATTTTATAATCAAGATCTGACCAATACTCACTGAATAATTTTTTATGTGTACGAATTAATTTATATATTTCACGTTTTGTAAAATAACATAATAAAACATCAAAACGTTCACGTAAATAAGTTAAATCATATTGAATTATATTTGGATCATTTGATATTAATATTGAACGTGTTGTTGTATCAAATTTTAATGTTAAAAGATTTTCGAAACATCGTTTTAAATTTTCATTTGTTACAATTGTTTTATCAGTTGATGGTAAATTAATTAATAAACGAAGAACATCAACAGGTTGTAAACCGTATGAACCAAGAACATTTATTAATTCATAAAATTCTCGTGGTGACCATGTTTGACATGAATTTAATAAATGTTGATAAATATTTGATGATAGAGGAGTTTTTATTGAATTAGATAAATATTGTATTACACGACTATTAAATGAAGAATCAGGTGTTGATGATAAATTAGAGGCATCAGTTGGACAGATTTCTGATGTTATATCAAGCCAATTATGACGAAGAACAGATGTTGTTGTTGAAACATGGTTCTTTTTTGACGAAGCATAACGAACTAGGTTATAAAAATTAAAGAAATTTATTTATTTTGAATTAAAAAGTTCGATAGGATGCTCTATGTTCTAAGAGTAATGTCTTTTTGAATATTTGTTTCTTCAAGTTTTTGCTATAACTCTTACGAGAATATCAATACCTGTAGGTAATGTAATAATATGATAAAATCGAAGACGAATAAACGACAACATGTCTAAAATAAAGAAAGTAGCTATATTTATTGAAATTATTTCTGTTGATCAAATTATGAGAGATAATCAATAAAGATAGAACTTTTTAAGTGTTATTATAGTTAAATAAATGTTTTATTTATTATGTAAAAATTCACAAAATAATAATTCTAAATCTTCATATGATAAACAAATGATATTTTTGAAGTATAAATCTTTGTTTTGTTTTTCTACAAAATACTTTGAAATAAGATAATATTCTATAGAAAATACATAGTTCTCAATTTGTTTATTCCAAAAATAAGATAGTAAATTAAATGAGAAGATACAGTTGATGATAGTGCTAGGAAAATTGTCATATACAACCAAATGTTTCAGAAAAATTCTCTTGCGCTAAATCATCTTACTTCAAAAATTCCTGAATATTCAAATCGATAATTGTTTTTCTCAACCAATAAAACGCGAAAAAAAAACAAGAATAAAGACAATAGTTTATATATAAGAATAAATGTGTACATATGTTGACAGATGAGCATAAACTTGTAAGAAATAGAATGAAAGATAGTGTTATTTGTTTTCAGACGCAAAAGGATAAAGAATATAATATAGAACTACGTTGAGCAAAAAAAAAACAACAAAAAAAAAATCCACTGCTGCTTGCATCGAACAAAATTCTTTATCTATACACATAGTAAATGGACGAACGAACTCGATTCTAACAAGAATAAAATAAAAGTTCTTATTGATGTTGAAGTTTTAATTGATGTTCTAATGAAATTCTTTTATCAATTAAATCAGTTAATTCATCTTCCCAATGTTTTAAATGTGCTTTAAGTATTGTATTACGATCTTTTATTTGATTTAATGATGTATCAAATTGTTCATTTGTTATTGTTGACGTTGATATAATTGTTGATAATTCTTGTAAATGATCAGGTTTAAGTAAATCACGTATTTGTTCAAGTAAAATATTTGGATCTGATTGTTGTTGTAATGTTGAAGTAATTGATGAATGTGTTGGATTATAAAAATATGGTGTTGTAGTTGTTGATGAATTATTATTATTATTGTTATTATTATTTAAATTTCGTTGAGGTGTTTCATGAATACCTATACGTGGTGGAACAATTGGTTGTTGAGGAATATCAACTGATGTTGTTCGACCAGGTACACGTGGTGGAGGTGGAGGTGGTTTTGGTGTTTGAACAGAAGGTGGTGGTGGAGGAGAAAGACGAACAGCTACAGGAGCTATTATTCGATGATTATCAGCAACAGGTTGTGCAAATGTAAATTGTTTTGGTGAATCAGTTGTTGGTTGAAAATTTGCCCAATTATCTGTTGATGTTGTGTCCGATAGATCAATAAGTGGTGTAAATGGTTGTAATTGTTGCGGAAGTTCATCGGGTAATTGAAAACCATTAAGACGTAAAACTACAAGATGCATTGCTGTACAAAATTCTCCTAATGATAATGCACCATCATGATTAACATCAGATAAATTCCATATTTGAGATAATTCACTTGTTGGTAAATTTGAGCGCTCAAAAAATTCTTTTGCTATTTGACCTAAGAAAAACACACAAAAAAAGAATAAAAGTTTTTGTTTTTTTCTTGTTGACAGAATTAAAATTTATTACCATTAATAACTTTAGTAGTATCTTTTTGTAAATTTTGAAATTGTTTAGTATAATATTCACGTTGAACTGTATTTATTGTCCATGGATCTTCTATAAAATCTTGTTCACTTTCATCATCATCAGACATTGATGATGATGGTGATGAAGACGATGATGATGATTCATTATCACTTGAACTTTGATGATGTTTATCATGACTACCATTTGTTGGTTTTGTTAAATACATAATCCAATCTTTTTTTAATGCTGATGGTTGATATGTTTGATTAATTGTGTCATTTAAACGAGATATATTAGAATTAACTAAACCTTTTCCTTCATCATCTGATTCATTATAAGATAGATGCTGAATACTATCTGATTGAGAACTAAGAATTGATATTGTATCAACATCTAAACGTGGATGAATATCAGTTATTGATATTCCTGGATGACGAATTGTGACGCCATCACTAGTTGTCATTTTGAATATATTCTGTTTTGTTTGTTCACCGGTGCAAGAAAAAAGAAAAAGAATAGAGATCTAAAATGAAATGTTAAATCAGATAGAAAGACGGTCGATAAGTATGAGAATTATAAGTAATGATTCATTATATTCTGTGTCTTTTTATTAAATGGTTAATCGATCAACGAAACATAACATAGATTATGTCTACTATTGTGTTGATTAAGATCACATTTGAAAAATATGAATTCTTTATAGATGACACTAGTTATCGATAATATCCTAATTATAATTACCATGTGAGTATTTTCATGGTCGTTGAGAAAAAAAACACCAAAACCAGCTATGTCCTTCATAAAAGACGTGCGAAGACGTTTAAAAACGTTCAAAAAATTTTCTCATAGCATGTTTTGACATACATCACGCAAAAAAGTTGTTTTTACCTGGGAAATATTGTGAGAAAAAATGTTTGCACTTTTTCCAGATGAAAAAATTGCTCTTTTAAAGTGTCTTCACGGACTTTTTATGATGAAAATAGCTGGTTTTGGTGATTTTTTTTTTCAATAGATGTAAAAACTGTCAAACGAGAACTGCAATTAAGACGTTTAAACGAAAAACATCCTTGACTCCTATTTTATAGCTTTTACTTGCTATAAATTATTAATTGAATTTCTATTTCGTCAACGATTTTAAACAAGTATATTTGGGATAGGCATATTATAACTTACAATGGACGAATCAACAAATGAAACGTTATTCTTATT